AAATGGATTAAGCGTGTCAAGGAGTTTGAGAAACTTGCTTTTGAATTGAGTGTAGTCAATGACACATATACAACAACCTGATTTAAAATCTAATGGATAAGAATGATTGTGACTTCCTTATAAAAATATAAATGATAATATTGTATGCTTTTCTCAAATATGTATATGGTTAGATCCTAATATTTAGGAATTTAAAATCTAATTCTATTTGAGAATGGTGGAACATCCCAAACTTTCACTAAAAATATTCCAGTAGTCAAGATTTCAAAATTCTACCTTAAAATATTTGACAATGCAGATGCTGATTGTGGCGTTGGTTCGTTATGATTAAAACATAATTCTCAGTTAACGGTCGATGTAATCATGTCAGATGGCCGACAACACCACTAGCAGCACTGGCGCCACTATAGGTGTCATTGTGTCCAATTTTAGCCAAAATGTGGTTGTTTGTAGTGTCAACACTACCACCATCATCGTCCAAGCAATGATGGTTACTTTCAGCTGGAATCCAAGTTCGACAATGGGCAGTGATTACAACCAAGAAGGAGCAGAAGTAGTTGATGGCCTCATTCAACGATGATGCCCCCATCACCCACGAAATGATGATTACTTCTTCCTTCAGTTTAAGCATTTTGATGTCGAGCGATTGGTGACAATTTTGGCCAATCTAGGCCTGACGCTGTTGATACTGGCATCAGGGTGCTACCCTAGCATTGGACACAATGATGACTCTTCTACACTCGCATTTTGAGGGCATCAGTTTGGTGACTCGAGCCACCACCCTCCTGGATGTTACTTTCCTTATTGATGACGTTAGTGTCCCCAGATTCATGTCGACACTGTGGCGAGGCCATCTTTAGTGTTGGTGTTGTTGGTGGAGGCATTGCTTTAAGATTCACTCTGCATCAAGTTTGAGTGATTTGTTCCATATCTTTCCTTATGTTAGGGCCATTCCCAAACTGCTAGAATTCTTTTCAGAGTTCTAGGTTTAGGGTCGCGTCTTCATGACAGACCATACAACACGGGGGTGGGTGTTAGGGAGCTAGTTTTGAAATTATGGGTAGTTCCAAGGTCTACGGAGGCTGGCTGGAGGTTCTTCGGCTTCCTAGAGTTTCTTTATTCGGGATCAGGGTGTCTGCATGCTTAGATTTGGTTGTGGTTTGTATAAGGATGCAATTTAGACAATCAAAGTAAGGTGCGCCTCCAATTTTATCACAAGATATAATTATGGTATAAAATATTCTAAGGATGGCTAATAATCTTTTCTCATCTTTAATTATACAATTTTAAACTTTAAAAGTAGTTCAAATCAAGTAGATCTATAAACAAATGAAAATCTTCAAAATATATAGCGACTATAATATGTTTCAATGTGCATTATTTTTGGGACTTGAAATCTGTTATTTTTATTTTCATTTCCATACATCTTGATGTCGAGAAAATCAATTAGAAAGTTTTTCAGCATCAAAACAACCTTTTTTGATGGATTTTTTAAGTGCACTTTACTTCTACATTTTAAGGTTGCAACCTTATATAAATATTTCCATTGGATTTTATTGTTCCTATTTTTAAATAGAAGAGTCTACATCTTGTGTTTTTTTTTTTTGGTATTGTTTTTTATTTAGTGCATTTTTACCTTGAAATGAATGTGCAGCACTCAAATAGGACAACAATATCAATATATACACAAATTCAATAATTCTATCGAATTACATAATATAGTAAAATATTTTCTATACTATATTTTGATTTTTATTATCTTTTGGATATTTTTTGAATTTTTAATTATCTCCGGATGGACGGGTCAGCTGAATCAATCTATATCGCTAGTTTGCCAAGCAGTGTTCACAAAACCTAGCGATTTAATTGTTAACTGCCCTGTTAAATCGGAACCGGCAAGTGGCCGGTTCCAGTTTTGGGTGGTTTTGGTGATCAACCGGTATTTTAAAAAAAATAAAAAATGTATATAAATTCCTAAAAATAAGGAATTTGATTTGTAATGCCTTTTTAAATATTCTTTACATTATGGTAAAGATTAAAAATTGTTTTGGTCGTTAATACTCACTTTCATCTTTTTGAGAATATTTTAAAAATACCACTAGGCACAATTCGTTTCGTTAAAGTCCATTTTTTTCATTAATTTTCAACTTTATTTTTTAATGTGTTTTGTTTTAATCATTCTTTATATGTTTTTCATATTTTAGTAGTTTGTTTTTTTGTATCTTTTTTATTTATTTTTCAACACTTTTTTGACCGATCGGGACTTGCCCGGTTAGAACAGTTGAATCGACTGGTTTACCGGTTAGGCCATTTAAACAGCTTCTGGTTTCATGTCTGGTTAACCGTTCCGGTTCGATTTTGCGAACATTGTTGTCAAGTGATTGGTTAAGCTGCCAAGCTAATTTTGGAAATAAATGTAATATATAATTGGAAACGTATACAATAAGACCATTTACTTCTAGTAGTGTTCAAATGAGCAACTCGGGCTACTCGGCCCAAGCCTAAGCTGCGTAATCGACCCGAGTTGGGCCTAGGACTGGAACAACAAAAAAGTGTTAAAAAATTTAAACTATAAAAAATTAAGAAATATATGTTTAAAATAAAATAAACCAAAACACATACAAACAAGGTAAAAGAAGTCGAGAAAAATAGGTTTTGAAAAATCAACTTGTGGTGGTGGTGGTGGTGAGGGGGAAGGGGGGTATTTTTAAAATAATCTTAAAAAGATAGAAAAATAAATATTCATTGCCAAAATACATTCCAATCTTTGTTAAAATAATATAACACATAAACAAACATGTTATAAATAGATTTTTCTATTTTTTGAATTTTTTATAAATTTTAAATTATTTTTAAGATCCCTAAGCTGGACCCCCTACTCGAGACAACTCGCCGCTACTGCCCGAGCCCGAATAACTTGGCCAATTTTTTAAACACTGGCTTACTAGCACATTGGTCCTTTAGCTTTCAAATAGGGTAATTATGAGCATGTTATTAATTGGACATCAATCTAAGAAAACAAGTTATTGTGACACATTCCATCGCATCCAAAGGGTAATTAAGAGTAACTCTGACATGGGAAAGATATAGGATCTCATGTAATCCTTG